ATGAACAAAGGAGGCCCATCTTTAACACTAGATTTACGGATGTTGATTATACACCCATTTTTACTGAAGTGAGTCAATTTGACTCATATCAGAAAATTGAAGTTTTCTGCAAAGAAAATAGTTCCAAATTAATTTAAATGAAGGATTTATTATTAAAAAATTCATTGAAAACAGTTTTTACATATAAACTCTGTTTGAAATACATTTTCCGCAAACATTTCTATTACATTTAGCACAAAGGCTCTTACATCTATTACTATTACATGATTCTTGAACTTGACAATTCTTCCGTACGTCAGTAGCATGAATTTTTGCCAATGGAATGAAAGTGTTCTCCACATCTTCTGTATATTTACTTCTTAGCCCTTCAGCTAATTGGAAAATAAAATCTTTTCTCGAAATATTTACTCGAGTGGTCCCTTTATATACAATCCAAGCATCTATAGCTGCTAAATCTAAAATATTATAGAAAACTTGTAGAGGCCATCTGCGAGAGCCTGCTTTAACGCTATATTTTCGACCCATTTGGTCAAGTATATCCACGCCATACTTGGTGCTATTCTAAAATATTACTGTTTCCAGAATAAGATTTTTATTTTTTCAATTATTATATTTTTATGTCTCGAACTAAGTAGTAAAACTTTTTTATTAGGCTTGCTTTTATAAACGGTTGCAAAAGTTGCCCAGGCCTGATGTAAGCTATAAATTTCATGTATTATGCGAATAACTGTTAAATCATTTTATGAGTCAAATTGTCTCACAGCCGTAAAAATAGGTATACCACATTCGATAATGCGAAATGAAAGGGTCTGCAGGGGAGAGGAATCAACATTTACGTATATTTAATGACGTAACTAAAAACCAATGTGTGTTTTTAAAAAATAATATTTATGTTTTCTATATTTACAGTAATCAAATTTTTAATGAGTCAAATTGACTCAGTCCGTAAATCTAGTGTTAAAAGGCCAGGTCGCGAAGCGTACGAGACAGTGCTTAGACAGTTCCTAGACAGTCCCTAGACAGTGTGTTGAGAGGAGTCATTGAGAGACAGTTGTTACGAAAGAGTATTAGCGGGCCAGTTCTTTTTGAATATTATTAGACCCCCTTACGCAACAATTGGAAGCACTACTTACATCGATGCATCGGTTTGATTCGGTCGCGACGCTAACCTCAGCGCCATCCTCGTTCCTCGCTTCGGTATAATCGTAGCCTAACCCAGACGAGTGAACATGGCGAAGCGCGTGTAACTTCCGGTAAAGCCGCGACGGTTTCTCGAGGTAATTTGTGAGCTAGTTTCGGCCGGAGTATCGTAATCCATGGTAACGTTATGCGGCGTGAGTCTGGTCCCTAGTAGCCGGCGGGTCTGGGAGTCTTATGTCGGGATTACCTGGCTTACCGGACACGCGAGGCCGGAAGCCACGGGGGTGTCTGTCCAAAATACACCCCTGGATTACCAGGTTCCCTCCGGATGGGTGGAAACTGTTTCGAAAACTTGCCACCGCGGAATGTGTATAAACATCGTTGGGTGGTTCGACGCCGATAACGGATAGCAATAACGCGGTAATACGATCGACGCGACAAAATTGCTTGCTCGAGGTAATAAACCGTGACCATCGGCCTACCAAGTAGTAGGTAATAACAAATTAAGCGATAGCTAATGGTGGCAATTTTGCATGATTAAAACGCCGTTCGCGTAAATTTTAAACAGGGAGCTTCTGGGTTTTCCATTAGCTAGCGAAATAAATTTCTTTTTCACCTGGTTACGATTTTCTGGGTGAATTGGATTTTTAGAAATTTTAGTACTTTACTAAATTGTAGATAGGTGGAATTTTATTTTCATTTTCGTTCGCTTGGTGAGTTTGCGATTAAGATTTTCCAGGTTGTTTTAGAGAATTAATTCTCCTTATTTTATTTTAATTCTTGGTCATCATTCATCCATTGAATCCATCGAATAAATTAGTGGTTATTACTTTTCGTGAAATATGTTTAGGAAATTTTATGAAGGTAGAGGTTTAATTCAGTTTTGGATCATTTGCAATCCTTGTAATTTTCTGAAGACCTTTTTGAAAATAGGTATAAAGATGGATGTTTATTCTAGGTTTTGATCACTTGGAGAACTCATGCTTACGATTTTTGAAGTTTCTTTAAAAATTTTTACAAGAGGTAGTCTTTATTTTAGACTTTGATCATCTGGGAAATTCTTTATTGAGATTTTAAAAATATTCTAGGGAAAGGAAACTCTACGAAAATTATTTTTATTTCAATTTTTATTCATCTGCAGAACACGTAAATAGGATTTCCAATTTTCCGAGAAAATTCAATTCGGACCTAGAATACGCGCGATTATGATCTCTGGAACTTTATTAGCACACTATACAGAGATAGTACAGTACACTTACGAAGTTACACGAATGTATCTCATATGTGCACAAAATTACATATGTATATCTATTAATTACGTATTTTATATACATACTAATAATTTATTCCCAATTTTTGTCTTTAAACCAGAAATTCTAAATTAATAATATAATTTTCATTTCCTATCCTATCACATCATCCTATTACATAAAAATTACATATATTACATAAAAGAACACAAAGAGAAACGAAAATTTACCAAAAAATTTTATTTAAACGCTATTTTCGGAGTTTCTTCTTCCAACAATATATGTGAAATTTATGATCTCTGAAACTTTATTAGCACACTATACAAAGATAATACAGTACACTTATGAAGTTACACGAATGTGTCATATATGTGTACAAAATTACGTATGTATATCTACCAATTACGTATTCTATATACATACTAATATTTATACTAATAATTTGTTCCCAATTTTTGTCTTTAAACCAGAAATTCTAGATTAATAATATAATTTTCATTTTTCACGTTCCAATTTATAAAATTTTTAAAACTTTACTTCCCAATTGACTAATTAGAAATTATATTCAACTCCCAATATTGAAACCAAGGCCCAAATTTTCATATTACACATAAGATTATTACCCAAAGAGTAAAGAAAATTGCTATGGTAAAATTCAATGGTGAAGTAAACTCTACATTCCAGCGGTGTGGGGGTGATCCCTTCCCCCTGTGTTCTGTCTTGTGTCACCAGTCTTCTGAAGACGACCTTTGACCTGCGAGGCCCTAAACAGGCCAGTTCTAACCATTCGCCCGTTCAATAAAGATCTATACAGTTTTTCCACAGTTTTCCACTGACTTCTATTCCTTTGCGTTGTAACCCCTTTAACACAGTGTAAATGATGCTTCGAAGAGTGTCCTAGAGCAGTCAATCGTTACAGAGGAATCAAAGAGTTAGAACCAATAGGTGAAGCGAGACAGAGAGTGGAAAAATGAAAAGAGAGAACTGATTCATCATTTGAATATAATATCGCGTTATTATTTTTCGTGTAAATATATTTCGTGCTTTTCGTTGGAAGATAAAGATATTATTGTCCCATTCTATCTAATTCTAGATAATTGGAACTACTTACCATTCGAGTTTTCGACAGTTACAATCTTGCTCTACGCTTTTCGCACGATCTTACGAATCTTTCTGTTCCTTCTTTCTTTTTATTGCTTTCACGAGTTCTACAATCGATTCCTCAAATAGGAATTATAAGTAAAAATGATAGCGTTATGCGGGATAGCCTTTGCGTTATAACCCCTTCAACAAAAATTTGTCAAAAAATTTCGTGTAAACGCTATTTTCTGTGTTTGGTGTTCCAACGATACGAAATTTATTAAACACGAAGCAGGCCATTGTAACTTGTAACGGTTAACACTAGATTTACGGAACCTTGGAGAATCCCAGACTAACAGAAGGGTTGCTCCAGTTATACTATGGTAACAGATTTAGTTAACTTATACTAAGACTGTTAAACTTTTGCACTCGACGATTTTTTGGCTAGAGAAGAGTAGAAAATCAAGGATTCTGTATTTAAAAATTGACGATACTTTTTTGAGCAGTAAATAAATAATTGTATAATAATAGAATTGTAGAATTATTTTACATTGAAATCGATATATCAATTAATATCGATCTTCCAAATTTGATGAAATGGTGACTGAGGGTCACCTCTCGAGTGCGAAGGAATTGAAATCGATATATTAATTAATATCGATCTTCCAAATTTGATGAAATGGTGACTGAGGGTCACCTCTCGAGTGCGAAGGGTTAATTTTGACAAGCCAATGAAGCATCCGGGTGATTTGCAATGTTAGTTCCGCGAAGCAGACCGGGCACGGATCCTGGCGAAACTAAGGTCGCGAAAATAATTAACGCACTACACGTACAAGAATTTGCCTCGCCGCGATGGCTCGTTGCATAGCGATCTGGTCGGTGAGGTCGGTACTCGTCTGTACAAAGTACGGGCTGGGTCCATGCAAAAACAACGGAGATTGTGCATACGTCCCCGGGGATGCGATCAGGCCGCTTACCTCGTCGTCCACCTTAAATGCTCCTTAATATGTAAGTTTTTCTGGGACAGTCCCTTTCAGCGGCGCCGAACTTGTCAGAATTTGGACTCGTTTCCGTATTCGTCGTATTCCATGCACATCCGTCGTAAATGCCTGCGCGCAACGCTCTTAACTTAATGGGCCTTCTTACCGAATCGCTGAAAAACTCGCGGGGTAAATTGAATAAAGAGCAGCGTTGTCTTTATATTAACCGAAAAAAACCTATTCGAAACTGTCTTCGGTTCCAAAAAGGGCATAACTATTTATCTTTTCAACCTGCAAGACCATTCGCTACTCCTGTCTTCTATATATACCTATTGCAATATGCATCGACATCGTGAAACGAAACGAGTGCAATCCGGTATTCGTGTATTTACTTCACTTTTCCAGTGGAAAAAGAATTCGGATAATTCCATTTTTTTTTTTTTTATTTTTATTTCTTTAACTTCCAAGGGTTTCCATTTTGGTTTCGATTATGATAGATAAGTTCTCGCGGTTTTTGCGTCACCTAAATTTTCTCGTGTTCTTGTTGCAGGTGTCAGACAGGTGCAGGATATCTACGTAAGGCTCATTGATTCTGCAACGAAACAGGTAAGAACGAGAGTATTTGTTTCTTTGTACTTTATACGTTGAATTCGTTGCGAATTATGGGTAAGAGAATATAATGACTGTATTAATGCGAACTGTTTTGTAATTGTTTACGTAAGACGTCTGTGCAGATGTTATGTAACTGTGCAGGAAGAAGTAACGTCTAATTGTGAAAGTATTTGTGGAAATATTTATGAAGAAATGAGAGGTTAGATTGATACGTATCGTTGATTCGATTAAATAGTTGGAGTTAATTGGATGTTGTTTAGGTTATTGATTTTGTGGTATTTAATTTTGGATTATTAGGTCGATGCATAGGAATTACTACTACGTACAATATGTATAATCATCGTGTCAAAGATATAGTTTTTGAAGAAATTTTTCTGTAATATATATTTGTCGAATAGTTACTCGAATATTATTAATATAAAAATTCAGAGTGCTTTTTTCTTTGCCAAAAATTATAAAAATTGGAAGCTTGTGCAAATGTTGGAATATTTCAATGCGAAGTTAACAAATTTTCCATGGGAGTATGAACTAAATAAAGCGTTAGAAAGTGTTACCAACAATAACGTTTTTGGAAAAATTATTTAAAGTAGTTTGGAATATTTAAGGAAATAATATATCACGCGAAAATATTTAAAAATTGGATACTATTCCAAGGGATCATCATATTTTCGAATACATAGACTATTTTTTAATGAACGAGTTATTTCGGAAAATAAAAATTATATATAAGTTTCGAAAATAATTTCTGGTTCCAGAACTTATAATTTCTATAAATACGAAATGATAGAATTAAATTATTATTTGAGAAGTATATAGAATTTTATGAAAATTATTTCAATTAAGAATTTAGATAGTATTTTAAAAGTTCAAATGGAAATGAATACATCAAGCTATACTTATTTTAAAATAGGTATATCTTAATATCAAATTTCGTTTTGTGAAATTGTGCACTGTATATATCATTTTCGTTGTTATTATTTAATTATTTATAAAACTTCGCTACATACCTAAATCGTTATATCTCATGCTTGTTATACATAAGCATACCATTAATAGTAGTATAAATGACTATACATTTCGGAATTTCTATTTTTTTTCCCCATTTTTGATCAAGCATTTCACTTTAATTTTATTTATGTCACAAATTCACTGGCAGAAATATTAATAATTACAGATCCGCAATATTTATTAATACTTTCGATAATGACATAATTGACACTCTTCTTAAGAATTTCGTTTCTTTTCTCTCAGGTTAATTATTCAACTTTTACTTACTTATATCGAAAATTACCTGCCAAAAGTATTAACAAAAACAGATGCACGATATTTACAAGGAAACGTCTTTTTAATAATATCATAATTGACTCCCTCCTTCAAAATTTAAAATTTCTTCCTCTTAGATTAGCCATTTAATGTTTCTTGCTTATGTAAAAAATTCCCTAGTAAAAAATATTAACAAACATAGGTCCACGATATTTACAGAGCAACGTTCTTTCAATAGTATTACAATTGACTCTTATTTTCAGAATTTCAAACTTTTTTTTTTCTCTCAAATTTATCATTTAACTTTTACTTACTTACATCGAAAATTCCCTAATAAAGAATATTAATGGATAGAAATAGATGCATGATAGTAATAAAGCAACATCCTTTTAATAATGACATAATTGACTCCCTTCTATAAAATTTCAAATTCCTTCCTCTCGGGTTAGCCATTTAATGCTACTTACTTATATTGAAAATTCTCTACCAAAAATGTAAATAAAAGCAGGTGCACTATATTTACAAAGCAATGTCCTTTCAATAGCGTTATAATCTACTCCCTTTTTCAAAATTTCAAATTTCCTTCTCTCAGATTAATCATTTAATTTTTGCTTATTTATATGGAAAATTATCTGCCAGAAGTATTAATAAAAACAGGTGCACTATATTTACAAAGCAATGTTCTTTCAATAGTGCCATAATCGACCCCCTTTTTCAGAATTTCAATTTTTTTCTCTCTCAGATTAATCATTTAATTTTTACTTACTTATATCGAAAATTCTCTACCAAATTTATAAATAAAAACAGGTGCACGATATTTACAAAGCAGCATTCTTTCAATAGCGCCATAATCGCCTCCCTTTTTAATGATAGTAATAAAGCAACATCCTTTTAATAATGACATAATTGACTCCCTTCTATAAAATTTCAAATTCCTTCCTCTCGGGTTAGCCATTTAATGCTACTTACTTATATTGAAAATTCTCTACCAAAAATGTAAATAAAAGCAGGTGCACTATATTTACAAAGCAGCATTCTTTCAATAGCGCCATAATCGCCTCCCTTTTTCAGAATTTCATGTTTCTTTTCTCTCAGGTTAATCATTTAACATTTACTTACTTATATCGAAAATTACCTGCCAAAGGTATTAATAAAAACAGATGCACGATATTTACAAAGCAACATCCTTTTAATAATGCCATAATTGATTCCCTTCTACAAAATTTCAAATTTCTTCTTCTCGGGTTAGCCATTTAATGTTACTTAGTTATATGGAAAATTCTCTATCAAAAATATTAATAAAAGCAGGTACACGATACTTACAAAGCAACGTTCTTTCACTAGTGCCATAATCGACCCCCTTTTTCAGAATTTCAATTTTTTTTCTCTCAGATTAATCATTTAACTTTTACTTACTTATGTCGAAAATTCTCTACCAAAAATATTGACGAAAACGGGTTCACGATATTTACAAATCAAGGACACTTTTAATAACGCCATAATCGACTCCCTTTTTCAGAATTTCGAATTTTTTTCTCTCAGATTAATCATTTAACTTTTACTTACTTATGTCGAAAATTCTCTACCAAAAATATTAACGAAAACGGATGCACGATATTTACAAAGCAACGGCACTTTTAGTAGCGCCATAATCGACTCCCTTTTTCAGAATTTCAAATTTTTTTCTCTCAGATTAATCATTTAATTTTTACTTACTTATATCGAAAATTCCCTAACAAAGAATATTAACGAAAACGGGTCCACGATATTTACAAAGCAACGGCACTTTTAGTAGCGCCATAATCGACTCCCTTTTTCAGAATTTCAAATTTTTTTCGTCAGATCAATCATTTAATTTTTACTTACTTATATCGAAAATTTCCTAACAAAGAATGTTAACGAAAACGGGTGTACGATATTTACAAAGCAACGGCACTTTAAATCGCGACATAATTGAGAGTATCCTTCATGCTGGATCAATGCACGAGTGGTGGAGTGTTTTCCTCTGTGTCGCCCGTTTCCACGCGATGGAACTCCTCCGAAATAGTCGCAGTGACGCGTTCCCGCCGCTGAGAGTATTATCATCTGAGCTACAAGCACTTAATTTTCCGGGGGGTTGATTCCTACCCCTCCAGGAAAGCAGCGACCGCCGCACGTCTGCCCCATCCTGTTATCTGCGCCACGTGGCGAACCCTGCGCACGGTCCGCGAACCACGTGTTGTGACCCTGTATACAGGGCCGTAGATCCTGGCGCGGCGATAGGGCGCAAAGAAGGATCATAACCTTCGAGCAAACGCAAATACGCGGCCCGATCACCGGCACGATAAGTCTTTACGCGTTCGAGGGTGCTCCTCTGGCTAACGCCGCTTTCCATGAATCGCGTTTCGCGCCTACCACCGACGCGACATCTACCCAACAACGCTGTAGATCGAGCCACGGGATAACGCAGTGTAAACAAACGCTTGGCGGACGTTTCTTACAGATTCTCATCGAACTATCGGCTTTGGTCGAATGGTATGGTGTTTTCCTATGAATCATTTCTTTCCACATAGTTTGTGTTCGTTATTCTCATGTCGTATTTGGTATTTTTAGATTTGAGAACTGAGTTGTAGTCCTTTGAAAGTCAATGTAGTTCGCAATACCTCTTAACTCTTTGAGGTTAGATGGGTTGAAAACTGTTCCATTTTTGGCTCAGATTTTTGTGCATGGTGGGATATATTTTAATCTATCTAGAGAAGTTGTCGATGTGCGTTTTGTAGCACGAAAAAAGAAATTGGCACTTCGTGATGCTATCTGAAAAGTGTCCCTTTGTTTTAAAAAAAGAATGCATTTCGATAACTTTCGTTTAAAACATTTGGTTGCATGATGGAATTATGTATGTTCAATTCTGTAACTCCGTGCAACTTGGGTTTTTATTTTCTTTAAAATCGGGTGCCTTGGAGAGATAAGGTCTGTAACAGATTCACAATGTTTAAAGGAATCTAAATTTTTGAGGTACCGCATGTATTTTATAAATTGAAAAATGTAGGGTTTATTTCGAAGAGATTAGCGAATTAGATTGATGGAGATTGAAGAAAAGAAGAGAGAGAATTTTAGATAATAATATTTGTTTGGACAGCCATACATGAAGGCATTTGATCGATAGTACGAAAGTACTATTCGTTAGGAGTGGAATTTTTATGTTAAATGAAGTGTTTAGAATGATATGGAATACATGGTAAAAAGGAAGGTCCAAAATTATATCAGTAAAGTCAGAAAATAATTTAACGATATATATAGAATAGTTAGAGTTCCAATATTTGCTGGAAATACGAATCATGGTGGCGCTAGTGTGCTCGATGGAACATCGCTTTAGAACTGTCATAGTAACAAAAGATGGCTCACAATTATGTGTAATCTTTTTATTTATTACTTGGTGACACTAGTTACTCTATAGAAAATCGCTTTAGAACTGTCATAATAATAATTTAACGATATGTACAATATTTAGAGTTCCAATATTTCCTGGAAATACGAACCATGGTGGCGCTAGTGTGCTCGATGAAACCGCTTTAGAACTATCATAGTAACAAAAGATGGCTCACAATTATATGGAATCTTTTTATTTATTACTTGGTGGCGCTAGTGTGCTCGATGGTAAATCGTTTTAGAACTGTCATAGTAACAAGAAGTGGATCATAATTACATCGAATCTTTTTATTTATCACTTGGTGGTGCTAGTATACTCGATG